GTTTTAACTATAAGTGACAGATGGGCATAGATATATAAACTACATTATTTAGATCTTGTTTGGATCTGCTTTTAGTGCTTTTCACAAATCATATTAAATTAAGGTTTATTGGACATAGAGACTTTGACAGCCCAAGATCTAACATATATATTGGAGAATCGGCCAAAGTTATATGTCTACAGCTATATCAAATCTATATTCTCTAAATTTGTGGAGCTGAAAACCTACAAATTGAGCTCGTGGCAAATTGGAAGAAAGCCATAACATGCAAAGCTCCGGAGCTGGCAGCGTTTAGACAGGGAAAGCCCTGCGAATTAGTCACAAATTTGCCAATAAAAGTTCCTGTTGAACATCAACTAAAAGGAATGCTTCAGTTTTAACTGCTGTTGTGTGAAAAACAATGACATCAATAACTAATAGTTATGTGTTTAGTTAAACGAGAGTTTAAGCAATTCTCAAAGCTCAGCAATTGTCCAAAAAAAACAATGCGAATTCGTGTCCAACTTTGGCTGGGTGACAAAAAGTTGTTGCTGGTGCCACTGCCACTGACACTGCTGGTAACGGCAATAGTTTGTAATCGTGCGCCGTTCTCTAATTAACTTTGATTTGTACACGATGCTAAAGCAACAACTGTAACAATAACAACAATAGAAACAGTTCCGCTTACTAAAAAGCACACATACGCTCTGTTGGCCAACTGTTCAACTGACAGTTGATGCTGTTGCTGCTGCTGCTGCTGTTGCTGCTGCTGTTGCTGTTGCAGCTGGCTTTGCTAGTTTTATTATTTCGTTTTTCGCTTTTTCGTGACTATCACAACAGGCAAACAATCAAGTAGCGAGTCGAGAGTCCAACAGTCTAACAAACTCGACAAAACTTTACCGAAAAACTTTTGTTGTTCTTGTTGCTGTTGCAGCTGCTGTTGATGTTGTTGTTGCTTTTATTTGTGTGGCGGCATGAGATACGCTTTTATGTAAAACATAATTGCAGATTAGTCGCAGCGAAATATGAAAAACAACAACAAATTGTAATCGTTCTGTTGCCGCTTAAAAGGAATTAAAAAGCGTGGCTTAAGCCACCAGACAGTGAAAGAGTGTGAAGCATAGACAGCCAAATATATAGCCAGCAGAAAATTGGTTATAATGTCCCACAGATCGACATAGTTCGTCCTCTCCACCTCCACCTCCACCTCCACCTCCACCTCTTCCCAATCTATTTCTCGTTCTGCTGGCACTTAAGTAGTTGGGCAGGCACTTGCCGTTTGCCACAAAGATATTTCAATCAATTAAAACGCACCACAAAAAAACGAGCCAAAATTGAGGCAAAGAAGACAACTAGAAATCGTTGGCTGTGGCAACAACAAGGAGAAGCAGCACGAGTCGCTTAGTTGTTTTGCCTCAAGCATGCTGCAATGCTCGAAAAATAGCTTTGGGCAACCAATTGCACAATATCATGAGCATTGGCATAGCTCAAGTTGCCACCAGCTAGCCAAAAATATGACTTTAAATTAATACACACACAAGTACACAGTCGCACACCCACACACCCATACACCCACACACACAGCAATAGTCAGCAATGCGTTTCGCCTATTTGCACAACAAACAAAGTTGAAAATGGATTGGCTCTAGGTACAACTATGTGTGTGAGTGTGTATTAGAATCTGTGTACCTGTGGGTCAAGCAGTGGCAGGCAGTTCGTGCTGTTGTTGTTGTTTTCATCTCGGGCACTTTAAATGGAACGTAAATATTTGAGCTGCATTCACAGGCAGTTGGAGGACAGTTGCTGCGCTCACCTGACAGCAGGTAATAGTCACTACTCCTCACCTCATATTGATTTGCTCAATTTTGGTAGTCGAAATAGCAAAACGGCTTCAACTTCACAGATTCTTAAACTGAAATGCATTTCCCCCAGCAACTCGCCTCCTCCGGGCCCTCCTTAGTTAGCTCTACAGAGCCAATACCACTTCGCTTGCTCAATCATTTGAATGATGCTTAGTTTTTCGATCGAATACCCAAACACACGAATGCTGCAATTAATCAACGTGTTTTCTGTGGCAATTCCAAGCATGTTAATAGGAGAAACGCTCTTCTGCTGCGGCTTTGCTATAGGTACTTACGTATAGTTTCCTATTGTTCGTGGCTTATCTGAACAAATATATATTTTTTTTGTTTTCAACTTAATATTTTCACCTGGAAAAAGCAATCTATGAAAGTTCTGTTCTCACTTCACTTCACTTCACAATAATAAATGAATTTCTTAATTTATCGCATTTCTTGAAAAATAACAACATCTGACGAGTAGCCATCCTAATATGTCTCGAAAATATATAAAAAAAACTTCGAAATGTTCTTTGGATCAGGTAACTTTAATTTATGCTACTAGAACTATGTCATGAGTAAGTACATAAACATAATTATAATAATAAATTGGGATACTTTATTCTATTAATTTATTTGAAAATGAGATGGGTCTTTTTAAAGGTTTATATATTTTTTTGGATCACTAGCAACAGCTAAGTTGAGCGAGCTCTGTCCTATTCGTCCAACCGCCCCTTCTCTGTATATAAGCTATAAGAGCAATTCTTTTTTAATTCCTCACCCATGTTTGTACAATTTTTTTTGATATGTGCGAGAGTGTTTTTTTGTTTATTAATTTATTTACACTAATAATGATATTATATAGTCCGTAAGCAATGCTTCTTCTGCTGAGCTCAACACTGCACAGTTTCCCCATGATTGTTGCTGCGAAAGGGCAGAGCATGGTTTTCCGTAGGCTCTTCACTCTGATGAATCAGACTAGTGTGTCCTCCAGTCATGGCCTCTCCTTTAGAAACCGTCCACATTCAAATATTGAGTGATTTTCGTTTGCCTCCAGTTCTTTTCCGCACCAGGAACTCCTCTCAGTATCATCGTGCCCAAACCGTAGCTACGGAAACATCCATGGCCAGAAAGAATCTGAGAAAGATAAAAATTAATATCACCATGCTTACGGTTATTCCAGGGCTCTAGTTCCAGAGTGTGTCTGTTACTGTTTATACAAATGTCATTGAATTGAATCATGGAATTGAGGGTATTTCCCAAACGCGCACTAACGATCTAAGTAGACTTCATTTCTATAACTAACATATGCATACGGACAATCACATTTTATTGCAGTTGAACGCTTGTACAATTAATGTCTTTAGGCAAGTCTTCAATAATCTAAGAAATGATTTTAGTTTTCAATTTGGCCAGCTCTGAGTAGAAAACAAAATATTGTTGATCCCAGAAAGTTTCCAGTTTATGGCTTGCCCTTATTTTCAATATCTTTTCCATTCATGCTGTTCTGGTTTTGAAGTAAGCTGACATCGCTTAAGCTTCAACTTAGCTCAAGTCATCTGGAAACGCTGCTTAACTAATTTATATTGGCCAGCTTTGTGCACGTTAATTAACAATCAGTTATCCATCAGGCGAAAGGGCGTCAATTTGTTGTTAAATGTTTCCCTGACCTTTGACAATTAGGAGTCAGGATTGCCTCAGTGTCCATAGGCTATGTAGATACCCTATAAATTGGTTACTCGACGCCTGAAGGCCTAAATAAGCATAAGCATAAATTATGGGCGTGGCAACCTGCTATGGATGCGACTCCGCTCGGCTCGGCTTGGCTTATGCTCGCATATTTGCGCGGCATATTTTCGGGCGCCAGACGCGAATAGTTGTGCGGCAAAAGCGTTTCACGCTCTTCGCATGCACACACTGCCAGCAACCCCTTGACATACCCCTTAACACCTACCCCTCAGCCGCCCCCAGCCCCTTGGACTGCAGTTTTTTGCGGTGTTTGCTGCAGTAAAAGCATTTTGGCACGGCTTTTGTGCTTTTTTTTGGTTTGTTAATTTATTTTTATTTTATTGTTTTTACTTTTTATATGTGTGTTGGTAGTTTTTTTGGTGTGTTTGTGTATAGTTTTTACTTAAAATATATGTTGCTCTTTAATCATAATATATTCTCAGTTTTTAATTTAAACTAATGCTTCTCTTTGTGTTGTAGTTTAATGCTTGAAGTATTTGTATTTATATATTTTAAATTGAATTTTATTTGTATTCCTTTCTCTTTTTGTTTGTTTTTGTTTTTAACTTTAATACAGCTTTTAAGTATATATTTACATTTTGAGTTCCTTTGAATAAGTGCTCAACTTTATTATAAAGTTTTGAATAAATAGTTAGTTGCTAACTTAAGCATTCCCTTTTTTAGAAATAATTATTAAATTCATTAAGAAATGCACTTTAATTCATTTGCCGATATGTCTGTATGAGTGTGTGTGTGACTGTATGTGTGTGCGTGTGTGTGTGTATTGTTTTTCTTTTCTTTCCTAAACTGTGGATTATTGCTCTGGTTTTGTGCGTGTTTATATATTGTTGCTTATTGATAATGCAGCCTTGGCCAAATAAGTTTAATTAGAATCAAAACGCACAACTGCTTGTTTTAACAGATCAGTTAGAACTATATATGCATATATACGTATCTATATATTAATTTTGTGTGAACAATTTGCCTTCTCAGAAGCAACTCAACTAACATATTATTGCACTCCATGTTTCAGTTGGTGGCAATCGCCAACTGTCAACAACATTTCGCTCTAGAAGTAACATTCAACATACTCGTAGACACTAACCTAAACCTATGAAGACTTTCAACTTGCTTAACCTGCTGTAACTGTACAGTTACACATATATATTCAATATCTATATATGTATATACCTATATATGTGTATAGGTAGTATGTATACACGCTGACTATACGCTCAATTTTACATGTACCTTAGTACTTTATAAGTATGCTTACTGTCAGCTTTCATCTCTCATCTCTCATTTCTCATCTCTCATCTCTCATCTGTCATCTCGTCTGTTCGCACCCCATCTCCTTGTTCAACCCTAAATTATGTGCCTGGCAACTCTAGGCAATCCTGCAAATATATGCAACAAATAACATGCCTAAGAAATTGCCAAAAAAAATGGTTATTCTTAGTTTTCTTGTTTTTTTTTTGCTGTGTTGCCTCTGTGTTCTAGAAACCTTAACTATTGTATAATTTCAGTTATGTGTGTGTGGGTGTGTGGGTGTGCGTGTGCGTCTGTGTGTACTTGAAAAGGAAACTTAATTGTTTGGTGTAATGGCGACCAGCTCCATCTATCTGACCAGCTGCAACAACAGCACAGATATGACTAGCCCCAAACTGTGTCGCCCCAATGCACTGGCTCCATCCCCCTCGCCATCTCGACATATTTGCGGATGTCGCGTGAAGTCCTCGCAGTAGATCTGAAATCGAGAGATGAGCAAGACAAATATGCACTTAAGTGAGTTGCGATTTTCGACTCAACTTTTACTCAAAGAGTTTAAATAGATCTCGATTGTATTCAGTTTTATTAGTGTTCATATTGCAACTGAAAACTCACCTTGGTTAAGCTGTTAGCGTATTTGTCAACCAGCTCGCGCGTAAACTTCGCCGCTTCATTGCCACAAATTTTGCGTGCCGCATTTTCAGAGCAGTCCACTAACTCGTTAATAGAACTGAGGATTAAGTGCAAAAAAAGATCATATATATAAATATATATTATTATTTATACATTATTTTGAACCTAAATGTCATATTCCAAATGTGAAGACTTTAATAGTCTTTGCTTATTTTATTACCCGCGTCAAATCTGCATTTTTCATTTGGAAAAAACTAATTTTAAGAGTGTTCTTGGTTAACCTTCTGCTTTTTCAACTGATGAAAGTCCTCTTGTTTCTTGAAACAATTACTTAAAATGTAATTGCTTAATTTTTAGCTGAGTTTAATAAGTTCACTTTTTATTTCATTTTATTTTGAATTTAAGAAATGTTTCATTCAATTTGAAAACAATCTAACACATTATTATAACTCATTACTGCAATGAAATATATATATATATATATCTATATATATATATATATATATATATATATATATATATATATACATATATATAAATAATTATATATATAAATATATATATATATATATATATATATTTATATATATAATTATTTATATACATATTTATTTATATATTGATATTTATATTTACATTCCTCACATAAAATGTAGGCCATTCTTCTGCAAGAATCTGGGTACCTGACCAAGGTGAACTAGTCTCGTTGTTTTCTTTTTTTTGCTTTTGAACTCAATCAAAGTTACAATTACTATCGATTTACTGCAAACAAGTTTGATGAAACAATTATTTCATATGTATATTTTACAAAAAGTTAAAGCAAAGCCGAGTTAAAGCGACTGTCAAACGGGTTTTATTTATTTTGATTTCACGTTTGTGCTGCGGGATTATCAGCGAGTAGATCATGTAAAGCTGATACAGCACAATGTGAATGCCAAATGATTAAATATTAAAGATTATGAAAGCAAATGCGCCGGATCGTATCATGCGCTGCACTCACCAGCAAATTGTTTTGATGTTCTCGTTAAGCGTGCCGTTCTCTGAGTTCTCCTGGTTCTTGTTGGGCTTGAGGAAGACCATGGTCTCCTTGTACCGATTGGCGCACACTTCAAAGTCCTTTTTGGCCATTTCCGAGCAGGGAGCGTGCTTCAGGTACTCTGCGAAGCGCAAGGCGCATAGCTACAGCTGTCTGAGTGGGAAGGCAGTGTACTAAGGACTTACCCTCCTGGAACTCGCCTTTGCTGCATAGATCCCGTATGAACTGATTGGTGCCATGGTAGAGCTTGTTGAACTGGTTCCGCTGCTGTAGATCCATGCATCGCCGCGTATAGCTCTGGATGCAGCGAACGCCCTTGCGCAGCTCGCTGGAACGCAGAAGATAGTGTATTAGGCATTAGACATTGGGTAACAAACATGATGGCGTTAATGCTATTGTTTCAATTCGGGCAACTGCAACAATAACAACAACAACAACAACAATAACAATAAGAGCTACAACAACAACAACAATAACAACAAAAGGAACAACTTACTGACAAAGTTTATCCAATTCCTCCTTCTTGGCAGCGCCAATCGAAAATTCCGACGTTAAATGCAGCATTTCAAGTGGTTCGGCGCACTTGGTGAACTCCTCCTGGCCGCATTCCTCTGACCTTACGACCGCCATCAGCAATGCTGCTTGGCACAATGCACATTTTCAGTTTCGGCGATATTCGAGTACAAAAATGTAACACACGGGATGAGTTGGGGGATGGAGAAGGAGAAGACAAATAAACAAACTGGCAAACAAACAGTGGATAGTGCTCAAGTTGAAAGCTAAAAGGCAATCTGAGACCTGCTGCCGCTAAGTCTCTCACACTTCTAGTCCACTCTAGCGCTCTGTCACTTTCTCTCGCTCTCTCCCTCTCCCTTTGTGCCTGTCTCTCTTGCATTTGCTGCTCTCACAGCTGCAACACAAAGTTGCAAATGTGCGTCAGGGGTAATAAAGTTGGGCATAAGTGAAATTGGCATTTCATAAATTTAAACTTTTCGGGTTTTGGTACACATCTTCTCAATCTCTTTCTCGCGCTCTTTTACCCTGCCCTGCCCTGCCCTTCCCTTCCCTTCCCTTTCGCTGTCTCTACCACGCGGCGCTTCTATCGAAGTCACGCAGCTGCCAATTAAACTGACTGACAGTCCTCGCCTGATCTCGGCGATAAGCGACAGACAGCGCCCAGACGCAAACCCCTAGACACGGGCACAGAGTGAGACTCGGAATCAGAATCAGAATCGGCCTCGAACTCGATATGAAAATCGTGTTTCGAACTCGAACTCTGACACTTGCACATCTTGACCTTTGTCACGCCATAAATACTTCACACTTACCCGCCAGCAGCAGCGCTGTCATCGCCTTCCAACTGCAGCAGCATCGATACATTTTGTCAGACGCTTTGCAATTTGTGTTTGTCTTCTATTTTTGCTCTATTTGCTTTCCGTTTAAGTTGCAGTTCACACTTTGCACTCTTACCCTTCTCTTCTGTTCTCTTTTATTGTTGTTTTACCTTGTAATTGCTCTCGTCATTTGCTTTAGGCTAGTTCGCTCTGTCGCTTGACGCACAACCTGCTAGAAAACGAAAGACGAGCACAAAATAAAATATTTACATACTGACAAATTAAGAAAAAAGCATAACCAGCAAGAGCTACTAATTGATATGCCTCAAAATGCAATAATATTAAGTGCACGCGTGCACTCTACACGAGAATTCTTGACCCGCCCTATGGGCGCTACGAACTTCCCTGCGACGGAGTGTGTCTTGGTCATACTTATTCAGCTTATGCTGATTACTTTGTATATTAAAAAATATTCTGTTATAATTATGAATACTTTATAAAATACATTTTTAATTTTTGTCCTTTAAATATAATCTTAAGCTTAAACATGAAAAGGAAAATCCTTTCCGAAAAGAAGTGTTAATAATATTATACTAATATAAATAATATTAAAATTATATTAAATTAATATATAATAAGATTATTTAATATTAAATAAAAATCTTATGAAATTCCAATTTATATAAGCTTAAAGATTTAGCTTTAAGTACATTTTTATTTTTGAATTATTATTTGCTATCAAAACTTTTTTAAAACCATCTCAAAAACTAGGGTATTTCTGCTATTTTTTTTTTTTTTTGTATTTTTAAGACTAATTGTCAATATTAATTATGCATTAATTGTGACATTTGTTAATCTATATTAATTATGTTGCTGCCAATTCAGAAATTTCAACGCAATTTAAAAAATGTTAGAAAATAAAAGCAAGAAATGCTAAAAATAATGAAAATATATATATATATAAATATATATATATATATATATATATATATATATATATAAAGCAAAAGCCGAAAGCGTCAATTTCATTTGCTTGGTTGTTGTAGATCTTGTTATTCTTCTTTTATTGTTATTATGGTGAATGAGTGAGAGCTTTAAAAACCCTGATTTAGTCTTGTCTGGAGAGTATATAAATGGGTGCAAAGTACAAAGCGTTTCAAATATATGATATAAATATAGAAATTAATGTCTTTGATGCTTGATGCTCCAAACTAATTTACGTGTCCCACGCACAAAAACAGTTCGATAGTCAAATAATTAATTGCACGCCAAATTGTGGGAATAGTTGAAACACTAATTGGGAAATGAGTTGCAAATTTAATGAACAAGTTCAAACTGAGATAATTGAAAATGAAAATTAAAAATTAAATTAAAATTAAAATAAATTCATAAAATGCTAAAAAAGTCATTTTAAAAATTTGCTTTTCTTTTATATTTAATCAAAGCAACATCGAACAGAAAAAACCTATGTCAAATTAAATAAAACAATAAGTTTTTTCTGTAAGTATACTTTATGTATAATTGTTTAGTTATAGATCTTTCACATTACTAAAAAGTTGTAAAACATTTATCATCGCTTATCGTTGGTTAATATACTTAATATCATGGTAATTATACACTCTGTTCCATAGCAACTCGCATTAGCATTTAAATTATGATTACATAAAGGTCACATTTACCCATATAAGAGAAATATGCAAATCTTTAATGAATTGCTTGCCAATTAAAATGCCGCATAAATAAACTGTGACTTGCAGTAAGATTAATAAAACAATTTACAAAAATTCAATCAAGGCAAAATTGTTTATCAACTTAGTTAAATATTTTTTGTATTGCAAATATAAATATTCTGTGTATTCACAAAATAAGCAAAAAAATAACAAGGTGTTTTAAAATATTAATAAATGAAACTCGCTAAATATCACAAATTACATATCATAGCTGATATACCCCACTGAACGCTGCACAACTCTTTAGACGTGAGACTATACAAAGAAAACGTACAAAAAGTAAAAAAGACGAAAATATGATTTTGTTTTGCAGTTAGTTTTTGTGCCAAATTATATTTTTTTTAGATTTCTTTTAACTTTTTGTGATGCATCGCCTATAAAATGTATGTGTGTGTGCGTGTGTAGGTTGTATATTTATTTATATTGTTGGGCTTTAAGCACTTTTATTGCATATAAACATAAACAAATGTTTCAGATGTTTCTCCCTCTCTCTCGCTCTTAATATCGCTGTGTTTATCTTCAATTAATAGTAAACAAATAGTGGATGAGAATATTTACATAGATATGTATGTGCATTGGGGAAGGTCAGTTATAACTTTGCCCGCCTCAAAGTCTTGCGATATAATCGGAGAACCGATCGCTGTTGACATTGAGAAAGGGAGCAAAAATGCTAATTGATAAAGTGCAATGGAATGCAAATCGAAATGCATAAATCTAATAAACTTTTGAGCTTTCCAATTGATTTTTCATTGATCAGCTGTTCGCCTTAATTGGCAACCAGAAAGGAAAACAAAACACTTAAAACATATCTGAAATGAACAAGCGAAGAAGTGAAGAAGAAAATACGAGATACAAAGACGGAATGGCACCACTTCTTTTTTTGCTCAAGTAAAGTGAAAATGAAAATGAAATTGAGCGAGTTTTATTTTTGAGACAGATCGCAATTTGCAATTGCCTTGAAAGTGGGCGGTAAGGCGACGGGGCGGAGGGGAGCAGCACGTGATGCAAAGAGTGCAAAGATACAGAAAGAATGCAGTCGGACGAGCCTCTCGCCCGCCGATATGATATTATGCGATGCGATGCAAAGCGATGTGACGCGATCTGTGTGCAGCCGGCAAAGAAATCAGGTTTTCTTGATAAATTTTTTAAACATTTCAATGTAGTCAAATCAAGTAGCTATAGTTGCTTATGATTGTTTTTCATTTATAGCTAGAGAGCGGTCACACCTGCGCGACGATCGGCCACGAAATTTGAAAACACTTTCCCAAGTTCTGAGATCTGCTGTCCAGACGCAAGCGCGTCGCGTTGTTCGCCGTCCGAGTAACAAAAACGTACTGAAGAAGCGGCCGTCCCAGCAGCAGCAACAGCGGTAGCCCCACACACAAGCAGCAGCAGCAGCAGCAGCAACAACAACAACGGGCGTTACCCGACCTCCCAGCTCAGTAAGCTTCGTGGGCGCACGAATGGCCATTCGCCAAGCGCCAAGCACTCGACTGACACTTGTCGTGCATGTTGCTAGCAACATTCAAAATTGTTGCCAGCTGGCGCTGCTTGCGCTGTCAACAGGTACCTGCATGTTGCCAAGCACTGGTTCAATTTTTGTTGTTGCACAGACAGCTGCATTTGATGATAAGCCAGTCGACGCAGCTGATGCGACAGCTGCCTAAATGTATTTTGTTTTTTATACCCTGGACTAAGTGTCGACTGCTGAGAGTATAAGAGTTACGTACATTTTCATTAGAACATATCCTGAGTTATCCTATTGAAAAGAGGTTCCAGGGTATAATGTTCTTGTTCGTAATTCCTTGTGAGAATTTATGTGACGTTTAATCTATAGTTAACCTCTTTCCTTATAGTCGATATAAATCGATTATTTTTATTTCTTTAGACTTAAGGCTTCATTTTTAAATCCATTTAATGAATACAGAGATTTTGAACTTTTCGCATTTCTGGAAGTCCAACAAGATGAAGATAATTCAACAGTTAATTCCATAGTAAAGCCCATACTGCGGTATAAATTGGATATATAAGCTATTCACTGAGTTCAGGGTAGCTCCAAGTCGAGCACGCTCTGTTACTTGTTTATCGTCAGGCTGCACTTGATTTATAATAAACAGTTGATAATTTTGTATTTAATTAATTGAATAAGCCAAAGCCAATTGAATTTCCCGCCAAAGCGATAAGATTTACTCGCCAGCTATCTTCCAAGCTGATGGCCCCGTCAATAATAAGCCAATAAGCCATAGACAATTGTTGCCAGTAATAATTTCATTTTGCTTTGTATAATATTTATTGTTGATGTTTGCGTAACACAAACAGCAGAGGCAGCACCAACAACAACAACAACAACAACAACAACTACAACAGGAACTGGAACAGCAGACATCAACGTCACTTAGCTTCAAGTGTCGAAATTTACACGTGTGTCCTTTTGTTTTCCTTGTCACGCTCATGTATTGCCATCTCACGCACACGCCTGCGCCTGTCAAGTGCCATAGAAGTGGCCGCCGGTTTTTGCTTTTATACCACTGGCACCCGCATCCAATTGGGTCGTCTGATTAACAGCACAGGGCATAAAAGTGTTCTTAAAACAATATGTAAGCTATATCAAATAAATAAGTTATATATTGAAAATATTCGTAAATCTATATTTGATTTATTACTAATAAAGAGTAAGCTGTTGTATGCGAACGGGTATTTCTGAGTCGAGCAATGTTTTATTGTTTGCATGTGCCTTTGTTTGTATTTAGTTAATATGCAACATTCCGTCGAGTTGAGCTTTGTTTGCTGTGTGCCAATTTGTCGCAATGTTTATTTGTATTCGATGTAAATAATAACTAAATTAGGCAGCGATTTCATTTGTTTTTTTTATAGTAAAGATATTTGAAAAGGTTCAGGGCCAACCAATAAATGTCAAGTCATGCCGCAATGTCAGCTATGACATAAATATAGATCATACACACAATCGAAGGGATAGGGCGGTTTTATTGACCAACAATACGGACGAAGCAGGAATGAGCACGGAGGGTAGCGGAATAGTCGGAGTGAGAGAAAACTTGTGACTTGCATTTGTCCATTGTTCTATTGTTGATAAACATCTCCCAGGTAGTTGTTTGCGCTCAGCGCTTGATGAACACTTCGAAAATTGATTTGAAACAATATTTACAGAATAAATATACTTATGCATTTAAATTATTTTCCAATAAATTTGCAAGCAAATACTAAAAAAGTAGATACAAATTTGATATTGGAAAAAGTTTAGTTCAACGTTATTTCATTGAAAGAAAAAATACTTCCTTATCGATTATCCGGTTGAAAGAGATTCGCAAAATATATTTGCAATTGACGTCAAAGTTGGCTTATCGACTATTTAATTTTATCCATCAGTTAAGCTTATCTAGCTTATTTCAAAACGAGTTTAAAGGTTCTACTCGGGAATGACCGACTAGGAGATACTCTGAAAATGCAATTCATGGTGTGTATCTATGCATAGATACACAATGAACACCCAGTTACACCTGTGCACATTTATCAGCATGTTTTAAAGAAGAAACAAGGCTTCGCTATCAACGGAACCTACCATGCCCTCCACAGTACTGACTGCTGTGGCAAATCCTAAACTAAGACATATCTAAAACACTAGCTTCAAAGATGCCCGAGAGATAATCAAATAACTGCAGTTTGAAATTTAATTAATCGATTACAATGAAACGAGTTCAGTTATGCATTACTTAAAGCTAACTAGACCCCAGGGAAACTGCAAACGAAGAAGAAGTCTTTAGCTGAGAACGACGCGTTGACACTTACACACAGACAGACGGACGGACTATATCGACTCAGCTTGTCGTCCTGATCAAGTATTATGTATATACTTTGAGGTCTGCAACGCCTCCTTCTACCCATTCGTTGCATTTTAAGGTAATTAACTGCGAAGCAAAAGATATTTTTGAGAAATAGCTTCAATAATAAATTGTTAACAAATAACTGTAAGTTACTCAAGTGGTTAGACAAAAGGAAATACGTCATCCAAGCAACTTAAAATTAGATTAGATAGTTTTGTTTGATAGAGCTAAACTATGCGAAAACAGGAAATAGCTATTACAAATGTTAATTATAAAAGTGATTCTCTATTATTGATCATAAGTTCAAATTAGAGAGAGGTGAGATGTTTGTTTAACTGATTAATAAACGAAAGTAATCATTGCAAATGTATTGTATCATATTAATCACCAAGTTTAGATACAAATGAATCTATTAGATACAATTCTTGTTAGGCACTGTTAGGCATTAGTTTTACTCTTTTTGCAACCAATTCCCATTAATTATTTCAAAATTGAATTTTGAAATTGATAAAAATAATGTTGGATTAGTATTAAGACATTTATTTAATTTAATTAACTGTCTATCAAATATTCAATCTCTCTCTCTCTCTCCGTATATTACCGTATACGTGAGGTATTCCTCAACGAAAATTTAATTATTCCATGTTATTACAATAAATTTTAAGTCTACTACAAATTATTTCTTTTCAATTATTATTAATTCAAACATTAAACAGTTTCACGCAGAATATATATATGCACGCGTGTGTATGCATATCTCGTGCTCCACTTTGGCATTTTTATCACCTGGCAGGAAACTTAGCCCGACGCTCTATAAAAGTCAGGGCTAAAACTGGTGCAACAAGCGCGCTTTTTATGCATTAGTGCATTTTTCTTGGCAGAAGGTCAGGACATGTGAATGTGTAGTGTGAAGTGTGTGTGCGTGGGCGTTTGGACAGGTTGGGGTTATTACTACTGAGCACATGCGTGAGGGCAGCCGGCGGGGCGTAAAGCGGCCATTGAAAACAAAATGAAGTTTATTTTATTTGCGTTTGCTGCCAAACAACAAGATAGCACACACAGGCACAGCGGCACACACTGGCACACTCACACACACACAACACACATACACACCCGCACACACTCACACGGAGCTGCCGAGTCGCGTATTAAACGTACCAATAGCAACAACAACACCATCGAGCTGCAAACAACGGAAACAACAAAAGGTTCAGCATAACGGTGAAAGTGGCTAGCGTGTTGAGCGCCGGTCTATGCGTCTGCGGGACGAAGAGAGCGAGAGAGAAAGAGCCGACGCGGGAGCATACGAGAGCGAGCAGCATGGCCATACTTTTGTGCTTTGGCTGCTGCTGTTGCATTCGTTTGCGTTTGAACTTTGCGAGTTTCGCTTGTTTTTTTTGCCTGGCGCACTGGCCGGCGAGTCACAAGTTCTCCCAACTGTTGATGTTTACAGTTAGCGCTTGGATTTATAAACTCCGCATGCGAAGCACGTAACATTGGACAATTTAAAGTTTAGCACACACTCACACCCACAAAAAACACACGCATTCAGAAGGCGCGCAGCCAAGAGGCTAAGTCAAGCTGTAAAGCCCAATACAGACCCTTGCCCATCGATGACAATAAGAAATTCGCTGTTTTCTTCCAAGTATTTACGCTTAGTTTAGTTTTATTAGTTAAACAACAATACGAAAGAAAAAAGTTTAAAAATTAATGATATCTCCAACTTTTGTATGTAGTTGTAATAGTGTGTGTGTGTGCGTGTGTGTGAGTGTGTGTGTGTGGGATAGCTAGTGGACGCAGAGCACGCCCTGAAGTCTGCTATGCAACTAAAGAACTATCAAGAGCCGTTAATTCAAGAAAGCTTTTTTATGGCAGCAACTCGATTGGTTGTAGTCCATGCTAAGCTTTTATGGCAAAGAAGAGCGTGCTTACATTTTCAAGGTGCGAGTCTTGGGAATATAAAACCAATCTTTTATATGCTTTTTGAAAAAAAAAAAAAATAATAATAAGTGGAACTTCGATTGAAAATAATCAAATAAAAACTTCACATATTTAATATCCCCAAGACCACTTCACATATCTCAATTTATTAAAATTATTGTCTTTAATATCATATTTTTGAGAGTTTTGTATTTAATAATTATTCGATTATATTTTGTCAATTACGTTAATTTTCTAATAAGCTCAGAAGTAGTTAAATGTATTAAAAAATCAATATTACGCCCTAAAGATAGTACCTTATATTTCATAGTCCAATTTTTGGAATATATATTTTCGAAGTAAGAGGAGATCAATAGCAGCTAAATTATCAAAGTTTCCAGCCGGAATATTAAGCGTTTTCTAATTGGCACATATAACATGATTATTTTGGTTTATAATGCTACAAATTTCAGCCTAATAAGTGCTCAAAGTACAACGGATTATACACTCAGACCCGACTGGTGACGCCTCTAGTGGACATATGAAGTGTTTGTTAATTTATAGAGGAACTCACGTGCAATAAGTTTCAGTTTTAGGAGTTGAAGAATTAAGAGCGTTGCTTAAGCCGACTTATCTGATCGCCTGGCACAGACATATATACTAGATATTGCTCAATCAGATAAGCTATACCCACTGGTAGCCTAGTAGCTTATGAGACGAGGGATTGATTCCTGTCCCTAGCCGTAGGCAAGACGCACATTTCGCCAAACCAATATACTCTTTTTACTTTGTAAATGGGTATACAAAGGTGATCAGTATCAATTAATCAATATCGATAAAATATAGAATGAATATATGAATAAAAATAATAATACTAATAATAATAATAATAATAAAAATAATAATAATAATACTAATAATAATAATAATAATAATACTAATAATAATACTAATAATAATAAAAATAATAATAATAATACTAATACTAATAATAATAATAATAATAAAAATAATAATAATAATAATAATAATAGTAATAAAAATTCTTATTCTTATCTTAAATATGGGGCTGCTATCAAAGCCATGTTTTCGATATGTTCCGCATCAGTTATGGGTTTTGCGTGCATTGAATATTATGTAATATTGCGACAAACCTTTTTCACTTAAACTCCCACAATATGATAGACGAAGCACAGCGCTTACAGGATGAGTTGAGTTGATTTGAAGGCTGAGCTACTCACTCCTTCCGGCAACACACAAATAGTGGCTTAACAATTGAGCAGAGCAATTCGAGCCAATTTGGCTTGTGTCTGATTCCTGGTCATGGCAATGATTGTAAGAGTAAAAGTAAATTGATTGCTAATTCATTGAGCCCAAAGAGCTGCTGCATTTGCATTGAAATTGACTCGTTGGCTGATTATCTGCTGTGTGGCTTACAAATTGCGATGATTAGAACGTTAATTATGCTACGTAAATCCACATCACAAAACTAAAACAAAAACAAGCTACATAAATAGGGAGAATGAAAGAGATATATAGATAGTTAGAGAGAGAGCGAGTGAGTGAGAGAGAGAGAGGGAGACCAACACGATGCTCCTCAAGCGCTTGCTGGCCCGGCCGACTGCTGGCCAGGATTTACGAGCAGCATTAGCAGCAACGGCAGCTGCAGCAGCAAGTCTTTTCGTGCTGCTCATAAGCAAATTTTTTTGTGGCAAGTAGCTGGCAACTGTTCGGGGCAACTGCCCCAGCCATAGCCAAGTTCCAGTTTTGGCTCGGACTTCGACTCGCTGGGAATGTTTACGGCCGCGTTGACAGTTTAAATCGCTGTGCGCTCGTATATTTTGACGTTTTACAGTCTTTACTATAATTTACCTATGTGTGTGTGTGCGTGTGTGTGAGTGTGTGAGTGTGTTTGGCACTTGTTGCCTAGACGCAGGCGCAACTGTGAGAAAGTGCCCGCTGTTGCCATTTCTTAGGTTCATTATGCGACCCGTCTATGGGTTAACAATCACTTCAAACACACAAAACATCGCAACGGCGGCTGCTGCCTACACAGCCACAAATCGGGCCAACAGTTGCTGCCTCAACTCCTGCTCCTCTGTTTGTTGGCCTTGTTTGGGCCGGGTCGGGCCGTGATTTAATCGCCACTGCCCAAAAAAAAATACTTATTATGAGCACTCGTAAATTTCTGCGTTCGATTCGTGCGCGCCAAAGTAGCGTGGAATATGTAGCAGGTCATTGTTGTTGTTGTTGTTGCTGGCAGTGTTGTTGCTGTTGCTGTTGCTGCTGCTGCTGTTGTTGCTGAAGTGCGTGGAGTGCGTAGCAAGCACTCGATCAACAAAAGGCATCACTTGGATGTCGCCTCGAGTGGATATGCGGCGCAAAGTGTTGAAATAAACTACAACAGCAACAGCCACAGCAACAAAGACAACAACAACAATAACAATACTAGCTGCATCCCGCTCACACTCACCTACTATTGCCAGCTCACTCGCACAGCAGCAATCAAACCAAATAGCTGTCAGATTAGAGAGCATCAGCTCTCTGTGTGAGAATAATACGTAAAGCATCTCGAAACTGGCTCGACTAATATGCGTAACGTCTTATAGGTTCTCAAGTCCCTTTCGCCATGCCTTGTCAGTAGTTCTACAGACCACTCTTTTGGTTTACTACAGGAGCTCTGATTGTGGTGTTTCAAATAAGGGAGGCAATCAAATCCAAACTCAAAATCTAATTCTAATCATTTGATCTGTGCTTCATTAAATGCAATCGATCGTAGCTCAGAGATAGCTCTGTCAACGGTGTGTTCTACTGACTATAAATGACAAAAATATTTTTATAGCTCAACTGTGCATTACAGAAGAAGATGAAGAGTGTCCCGACGACTATCAACATCAACGATGAGCAACACGCCAATCTTAGGCCAGCTTTCAATGCTTCACAATTCAAGTGCTTGCTGATGAAATGTGCATGGTAAAGGTATCAGTCGATACCATTTGTGAGGAATATTTAGGCCAATACATTTTGGGTGTCTTTCAACAGACAAGCAAGCAATATTCCATTCCACTGATTGAGCTGCTTGCGACTTCTTCTACTTGGTTGATTCGCATCACGAGATAAATGCCAAGTCCATTCCGAAAAATTACAACTTTGAGTGTTTCGCGGACATGAAAAAGCGCCGCATTAGTGCAGTGCAAGGAGAGTCCTCTGAAAGTCATATCTTGTAAATACAAGAATAAATAATGACTTTTTATTTCATAATGCTAACCTTGCTATTCGTTGCTCCCGTTCGTCCGCCCATCCCTCCGTTCGTCAGTTATGATTCTCCTGATAGTAAAGTAATTGGACACGTGAGTTACTGTTAAGATCCTCTACGCCTACTATGAGCGTGGCAAATCATCTTTGAGTATTTAGTGATTTGTACTCGGCTATGTTTTGAACACTGCTGGAGCTAGAGACTATAGAAATTTGGAATAGATGCCTAATATATCCCTTTATAAAGATATACATAAATATTTTAATATATATCGTATTTGGCCCTTTTGACAATTGTGTATAAAAAAAAGAGGAATATTAAAAATTAGCTGTATTTTGTTGGACACTTGGACTGTTACGTTACTGTAGAACCCGTATTATGATATGATATGATTTCTTGGGGTGTAGCAAACCGAAAAAACTAAGTTTTGTCACCAGAATTCACAATTTTTGCTACAGTTTCGTACTCCTGAGATTTAACTTCACTTTTATTGAACCTGAACAAGTGTGCTGCAGTCGGTAACGCCCGACTGCAGCAGTCATAGTTGTTTCTTCTTACACTTGTACCTTTTTGTGGTACACGTATGTGTACCTAATGGGTACGCCTGGTAACCAATGAGTATATTCAAGCAGATAGTAGAGACTAGTGCTACACGTGCAGCATTCACTCGCCTATGATTCGTGACACAATTCAGTTTCTTATTGAATATTTAATTTGATAAGATGTGTCCGACAAATGTTATTCGCTGTAAAGTTTAAGGAATTATTACACTGTGCACATTTGCCAAGACATTCAATTTCGGATATCGATGTCAAATTGCAGCAATGGTCTGGGTCTGATGAGCATTATCACAGTCTTGAGGCGTGTGAACACGCCCCGCTTATGGCTGACTCGCCACCAAATCATTTCATCATCCTTCGCACTGAAGTAGCCGCCGTTGAGATTGCTGCAAGAATGGGGCAAAGTAAATGGGAAGTAGTCGACTCATAAGCGAAACCCTGATTACCTCCAGGAGCAGCTCTTGTACCACCAAGCACCGTGTGCGAACTGAGCGCAGTTCCTATCCAGCATTCTGTCGTTGTCCCGATCGTAGGTCGTAAACTTCATGCCCTCGTCGATGCGCATCGCATCTCCCGCATTGCCTGTGTACTCGCCAAGTGAGAGTAGTTTGTATTCGGTGCTTTCGTTGCCGATCTTAAAGTTGTCATAGCGTGCAAATTGGGTCACATTGTTGACGTCCACCATGTGGATGAACAGCTCGTGTGGCTCTTGTTGGGTCAGTCGATACAGTTTCTGCAGTCCAATGAAGAGCTCCCTCTTTAGGTCCCCAAAGCCCATGCGGTACTCCTTCCAGTTGCGATAGAAGTCCACAGCTCCATTCAGACGACGTTGGATAACCATCCAGCCGGGTCCAGCGATGCGACTCTCGCAGGCCGCCTGGAAGGCTCGCGAATGAGGCAGCTTGATCATGTGCAGTTTCGAGTCACCAAAGGGCACGCAGCTAGTGCCCGTGATCTCCTGATCATGGCCAGCTTTGCACTTGCGCAGCTTGACAGTCAGCTCTTGCCGTCTCGCTTCTGTTACTTGGATTTTATTTTCAAGCTCGCTTAACAGGTGTGCCTGTTCCTTGATAGCTGTTGTCTTTGACTGAATACCGACTCGACATTCCTCAAGTTGAATTCTCAAGGAGCGGGTGGATGTTTTGTTTAGACCAACATTTGCCCCTTCAGTGATCTCAGTCTGCTTCACGTTCCGCCTGATTTGCTTGCCAAATTTCACCAGCTCCGACAGAACTCCTCGCTGTTGACTCAGCTTCGATATTGGCATTGAGTTAGTCTGTAACAGCTCGAGTTATTCTTCCTCTTTAACTCTAACCAGTTGTTCCCGTACGTACCTCGCTCTGCCAGTACCCATAGTCCGCTGAAGCCTGATAAGAACCAGACAGGACTGCCACTAAAACTGCTAATTTGATCGAATAATTTGCCATGGCTAGTCCTGTTCGAGTAGATCGAGTGTGTCGTCTGAAGCTCCACAGGGCACTGCACTCAGCTGCTGAAGCACTTCCTTTTAAACTGCGATTGAGTCTGATAAGTTGCTAGGGAAACCGCAGCAAAGTTATGAATCTGAATCGAGAGCGAATCAGCGCACTTTGCTATGAATAAACAATAAAAACCAAATTATAAAAAGCAAGAGAATTCTGATTATTGTGTACATTTCAGAGCTAAACCTCAAATTAAGTCTTAGTAATCAATTGATGCCTATAAGTTCAGCTATGATAATATTGAGTTAGCTTTGATTCTTGCTAACAATCGGGCGATGTTTTGCACTTGATTTATATTGTCAATCGAAACAGGACTTGCAGCCTAAATTTTAATCGATTGACATGTGGCTATTGTCACTTGAAAATGTGAGTTTATGGATGCTCGTTTAATGCGTTTCAGTCGATTTCCAGCAGCTTTTTGTAGCCCCAAAGCAACAATAACAATAACAATAACAAAAGCAACAATTACACTGGCGAGCAGCTGACAGCCGCTGTTAACCCTAAACGCCCAAATGGCCATTGATACGGTCCTCCAGCCCATAAATGTTGGCTTTGCTTTGGCCTGGCCCATTAATGAGTTGCTGTTGCTGCTGCTGCCCCAGCTTCTTGGGAAAAGTTCAAGCCATGGGCAGCGACAACAACAAGTTCATTATTGCCAACTCATCACGTGGCTGAAGCCGCAGACCAAGCACGGAGTAGCTAGCTAAGCCGAGTTCTTGTTGTTGCTGCTGATGTTGCTGCTGTTCTTGCTGCCAGTGTCCAAGAGCTGGCAGCAACGGCGTCGGCGGCGTTTAACTGACAAGAAGCCGGATTATTAATCGACGTTTAATTAATTTATAACCAATTAAGCAGCAACATAATGCGGCAAGTTAAACAAAATATATATCCACGTACATATATATATATTTATATATATATATCTATTTATATATAAAGCTAAGCTACTGTTGACTGCTGGCTCTTGGCTGGTGCAGCAGCAGCGGCAGCAGCAGCAGAACCCGCACAGTGAGTGAGTCGTAAATGCCAAAACTCGTTCTAAGTTTTTTCTGCTCTTATAAGTTTTTTGCTGCTGCTGCTGTTGCTGCTGCACTATAAAAAAAAGCGTTAGCCTAAGCAGCGCTGGTTGCAAAAAGGGGGAAGAGAGCACATATAAAAAAAGGCAGCCAATGTCACAATTTATGGCATTGTTGCGGCAACATGCACCTGCAACAATGAAGCCGCCACCACCGCTGCAGCAGCAGCAGCAGCAGCAACAGCCCATTGCAGTGCTGTGTGCTACATGGCGGCATGTTTCCACTGATCAGCTTGTGATTTCTTTTTGCTCTGCAGCGGGAAATCCTTATAAGCAAAATATGTTAACGAACCATGAAAAGCAAAAATTAAATTACCAACAACAACGCAGCAGAAAAAAATTAGCCTATGCGCAGCCTTTCTAAAAAGCCATCGAACATCAGCTGCTGTTCAAATGGCCAATAGGCTGGCCTATTAACACATGCAGCATGTGGCACCACAGGAGCTTGGAGCTGCACCACTAGACACTAGACACAACTGGCACCACGCACCACGCACCACCACACAAAACCATCATTCGCATCAAGGTTTTGCAGCTGTCAGCTGAAGCAACTCCCGCCGTTTGATCAAGTGTGCCCCAGAGTTGCCAACAGAACCAAATGCCGAATTATTGTGGCACGTTGGAAGCGGCAAGCGGCAACAAGCAACTGCCAACTGGCAACTGGCAACTGGCAACTGGCAACAGGCAACGGCAACAGAGACGTCGACTGCGCAGTTAGCGTCAAGATTTATGTGATCCTTAAGATTTATTGGTTTACGGCATTGTTGTTGCAATAAAAAACAACAACATTCATAAATTATCATTAAACGTTTAAATGTGACGCCGCTGCTGCTGCCACTGCTGCTGCGCCCCCAGAGCGGCAGCAACTGTTGCTGCTGCTGCTGCTGCAATCTTGCTGCTCTGGTCAGCGCTCTATGCTATCTTTATAATGAGCCAAATGACATTTTTATACATATATATCTATATATATATATATATATATTTATGTTCTTGTTGTTGTTGTTGCAATCAGCTCTCGCTTGCATGCAATTTCTTTTAGCAGCAACTGCAACAGTTGCGCTGTTGTTGTCCGCGTCTAGACATGGCGCACCAGAGGTGACATTTGATTGTCATTGTTGGCATATTAAAACAGGCTCAGCCGTCTGCACGCGCCGCCAGCGACGCGGACGAGCCCAAAGCCCAAAGCCCATAGAACTCAACTCCACTGGTCTCGACTCCACTTGCCACAACAATTGGCGACACTTGGCTGCAGCTCCCAAACGCATTGAACTCCCGGTTTTTACAGTCTTTGACGCGCTCCGCTTTCTGCTCAAAAGTCAGCCTGTGCCTGAATCTCTCTCGCGCTGCCCATTTGGTATGCAAGAGTTGGCTTTTGTTTTGTCAGGGGCAGGGCCGGCTAACGACAAATGCAACAAGCCATGGCACTAAAAGCAGCTACAACAACAACAACACAACAACTCTAACTGCAGTCTACACACGCAGTGCCATTGTCAGGTAATGAACAATTAATAAGGGGGCGCCCTCTGAGCAGCTCGACTCAGACTATATCTATGTCCAAATACTCTCCCTACTAAGCATTGCTATTCCATTGTTTGCTTCGCTTCGTCTACGTTTTGTTTCTGATTCATCTAAATCTGATCTGATAATAATACAAATTAATATAATATATATAGCTTATGATATAATATGATTTGCAATCCATATATAGACCATAATGAAACCACATGATATGTAATACTTACATGGAACTGCCCAGCATATGATTCAAAGCAAAGCTAATGATTAGTGTGTTCTGAAAAATAGTATTTATATGTAAGATATAATATAAGGTATAAAATAAGGATGTATATGGGTGTATAAATTGAATAAATTGAACTGCCTCCGAAGATTGTATTTCTTCTTTACTTCATATATTGATGCATAGATATAATAAAGATATATAGATAAATAAAGATATATATAGATCAAATATAGATATATTTAAAAGGAAATTTAAAAAATATGTAAAAATCATATTCATTTCTTAATTTAAATTTATTATTTATATATTATATTTAGCATATTATTTATTATTATTATTTATTATTATTAATTTTATTTTATATTATTTTAGTTAATTTTATTATATATCATTATTAATTTTATAATTATTAATTAATGAAATGAATTAGTTAAAGACAGTTTATTATATTATATTTAGCATATTATTTATTATTATTATTTATTATTATTAATTTTATTTTATATTATTTTAATTAATTTTATTCTATATCATTATTAATTTTATAATTATTAATTAATGAAATTAATTAGTTAAAGACAGTTTATTATATTATATTTAGCATATTATTTATTATTATTATTTATTATTATTAATTTTATTTTATATTATTTTAATTAATTTTATTATATATTATTATTAATTTTATAATTATTAATTCATGAAATTAATTAGTTAAAGACAATTTAAATATCTTGGAGTCAGTCAGGCTTGGGATATATATTTCTAGTTATAAGAAAGAATCCTTTGCGTGCCGCCACTGGTAAACCAGACCAAAGACCAAGTCAGACCATGACCCAAACAGACGTCTGGCAATAGCCCGGAGCAGAAGTGCGTTAATAGCCACAAAGCACACGCACACTCTCACACGCACACAAAGACTTATTAGAGTGTTGGCCACATCTGTCTATATAGGCGTCTCCAGTGTGGAGGCCATTGAAAAAGCCTCAGCCTCAGCCTCAGCTGCAGCCCCGGCCACAGCCTCAACAGGCAAACGCGCCTTTTACAAATTTTTATTGAAAAATATTAAATTCTCATTAAGGCAACGGAGCAGGTTCCGTTTGCAGTTCCCAAAGTCGAGTCTGCTAAATCAGACAGCATCGTTTTCCACACATACACACACACACACAAGTGCAGAAAGGCTGTGTGGAGAGTTTTTCCTCCTGCTGGCTCGCTCCAAGTTGAATGTTGGCGCGCGCGCATGCGCCGATAGACGCGCTCAGATAAAAGATGATTTATGGGTTTTATGGTGTGATGGGAATTTTAATTTAAGCATTTTAGCCAAACAAAATTAAAAGAAAAGCCAAGCGGCAGCAGCCAGCATCAGCATTGACCATTTGCCTCTATTAGGCAATTGCCAATTGTCATATGAAGCAGCTAACGTGGCCCAGACCATTTTTAATTGAGCCAATGCGCACAGCATGTTGCAGAGGCCCACATTGCCGCATAGACGGGCCAACTATCCATTATACTCACTCACCTGTAAAATAAATGGCAAAACTGCCAACACTTTGGCAACGCGTTGACAACTCTGAGGCACATGCGGCAACACAAAGCTGCACGAGGCTGAGAGCAGCGCAGCGGCAGCGCGGCAGAGGCTGTTCCAATTTAATGCAGAAGCTAAAAGGCAAACTGCGACGGGGGCGATTGTGATTGTGTGACTGCGATCAGGCTGGCAGTTACCGTTAGGTGTCAAAGATTTCATGCCCCATGTCGCAAAGTAACGACACACAATCGATCACAAATCAAACGAAGAGAGAGAGCGAGAGCAACGGCGGCAGAGAGAGAGAGAGAGAGAGAGAGGGGTGGCTGGCGTTGCGACAGTCGTCCAAATGTGTCTCAAAAATCAGGCCGTTAAAGCTGCACAGTTTCATAAATTGCAGGTGACCTGCCGACCAGCAGCAGCAGCAGCAGCAGCGGCAGCAACTGCAACTGCAGCAGCCAAAAGCCAGCACAAAGGCATAACAATAAATTAAAAATGGCCAACTGTGTTTTGGCCTAGGTATCTGTAGCTGTATCTGTATCTGTAGACACACATGCACCAGCTGCCAGCGTGTTCTCCTGGCCCACCTCGCCCTTCCCTCTGCTTCCCTCCGCCAGCCCACCTGCCGTGCCATTTGGTTATTGGAGCGTTGTTGTTGTTGTTGTTGTGTTTTTTGCTGATGGACAGCATCGATCCCGAATCCGCATTCAATAGCTGATCGACTGCAGCTTCAAGTGGCAGGCAACGTTTGATGGACACGTTCGCTGATGCATAGCTGCAACTTTATTGGCTTTTAATGAGCTGCTCGAGCGTGTGTGAGTGTGTGTGTGTGTGTGTGTGCACATGCATGTCAAGGCTACATGACTTGTGCATGCCACAAGCTTTTACACATTTAGTTCACAGCAGTCAGAATGTAAAAATATATTTCTTAGTTTTATTAATTTCATTTTATAATTAATTTTCATTAATTGATGCATAAAAATGTTTATATGTAAATTTATATTATATTTAATGTCTGTTTCAGCAAGCTACATTTCATCTCAATTGAGATTATTAAGCTTAAGCAATTCTGAAATGAATCAAAAATAATAAAAAATAGTAATAAAAATAAATAAAGTAATAAATAAATAAATAAAAAATACAAACTTTATAACTTTTATAGTTGCACTAAAATTGCTAACCCAAGCTCCTTTTATCAAGCGTTTGGTGTAAAAAATTGGCTAACTAATTAATGATCTCTGTGGCAGATTAAATAAATTTTAATATATTTATATTTAAATTTGAGATTTGTTTGTGCAGTGTAGTTCGTAGCTTTAACATGCGTTTACATATTTAAAAGCTCAACAAATTCAATGAGAGAAAAATGTTGCACTAAAACATGACTGCCTGCAGCTGAAATATCAAAATATACTAATTGTAAGCTGCATTGAAAATGTGTTGGCATATTATATCCACATTCAGCTTCATTTTAAATAGTTTCCATCCCGAAAACTGTCTTGCAAATATCATCAATAAATGCTATAAAGGATGTGATTTAGACCTTATCACTTGGAAATCAGTTTTAGACTTTCGCTTATTCTGCTGGGCCAGGGTGTGTATACCCTAACTCATATATAAATTCATCCGTTCAATCTAGTTCATCTATCACTGAGTTTGTGGGCTCAACGTAGGTGTTTATATATTCTTAACCCATCGCTGAGCGGGTAAGGCTCAGCGTGCATTTGAGTCCAATCATGTGGCCCTTATCTATTTCTATGGCATCACCTGCTAGTCATTGAGTGCATTGAAGACATATTTACGATCTTTGAATGTGCATGCCTGAACAATGATACATGAGAGCAGTCAAATCCGTATTATATTTTATTGAATTTACCGTAAAGATAAAGTGCGTGGCAAAATCTAGTTTCAAGTGAATAAATATAATTTTATAATTTTTTAAAAATGTTTCATTACAAACCCGCCAATTTCTTATTATATCAGAAACGAGGTACATAAGGTACTGGGAAAGAGAATTATTGCACTCAGTGTCGTTTGTTGGCTTTGGGTTTTGTTTACTTTTACTCATTTGCATGTGCTGCGGGTCATTAAACCTGGCGTCAGCCTCGCCAAGATGACCTGACCAAAAGGCATATTCGTTAGACATACAATCAGACATATAGGAGTAGTATTTTAATTAACCCGAAAAAACCGGTATGTTATATATGTTTAACCTTTATGCTAAACGCGGCCCCATCGAGCAAGTCCAACGCCGATGTCGATGCCGATGCCGAAGCCGCTGCCGACGCTGACTTCGATGCCAGCAGCGGTAGCAGCAGAGGCAGCTACTGTCTGTCGACTGGGCTTATTATTAATTTACCAATAAATTGCCGCTGCGTATACGTAATATTTCACAATTTTAGCTTAATGATCGAAACGTTATTCATGCACTGATTTCCGCTGCAGGTGTCATCGCGCGGAAAAGAGATAGCAGCAGCACTTTAACCAGTTGCGCGTATTAGCAAAAAGTGAGAAAAAAAACTAAGAAACTAAATAAAGAAAAAGAAAAAGAAAAAGAAAAAAGAAGCCAATCCAAGGCCCGCATTGAAATTACAAATGACGAGAAATTTGTCATCTTTATTATTGCAAACAACGCGCGCGCGCACAGACGACGACGACAAACGACGACAATGCTCCCCTGGACAATTGGCGGGTGCGTGCTGCTGGACCCCAATCCATGGGGCCAAGCCAAGGCGAGCTGGACCAAGCTGGGCCGACTGTGTCCGCGTCGAGTCGAGCAGAGTCGAGGCGAGGCCAGAGGCGCACACATAGGCCACGGCTCGAACTGCTGCCGTTTGCCGCTTGGATGTTGACAACTTGCCACACATCTTTTAGCTAAGCTCTGGACTGCGCACAGTGGTTAGTGGACTGGACAGGGACGGCCACTTGGTAGCCATTGTGCGCTCAATTGATTTTTCATTTAAATAAAAATCCACAGCGGATTTGGACCCGGCCTGTTGTGTGGCTTAATGAGCTGCCCGTTTCTTGTTATTGTTCGCTTCGGCTTCGGCTTCAGCCACGAGCGAATGTGTTTGTTAGCCCCCTGTATATGTGTGTGTGTGTGTGTGTCTGTTTGTTAATAGTACAAAAAGTTTTTATTTTTATTTTTATTTCAGCAAAAAATATGTATTGTAGGTATGTATAAGGTATTGGCGTACAAAAATAATACACTTTGTTCTTTTTTCCTCTTTTTCTTTCTTGAATGGTCGCAGTTTGCTTTGTTTTTGTTTTCTGTGTGGCTTGTTTAAATCTATGTGGCAGTTGCAGCTCTTCCGTTTCGCCAGTCGTTGATACTTTCGACTCTGATCTGTCTTTTTATAAGCTTCAAAGGCTAAAGCAAGTTTAATTAAGAGCTAACGAGAAAGAAGCTCATTTCGGTGCTCAAACAGAAAAGTTTTTAAAACAAATAAAAACAAATAATAATTTAACGGATGAAAAGCTAAGAGTAAAAAAGTTTTAAATCAATTTTTAAGGCAGAAGAAAACAATTTGTCTTAAATGTAAACATTATTTAAAGAAATTAAACAAAATATGCACTATATAATATAAAGTATTTAGTATATAGTATTATAATCTGTTTAATTTTGTATGGAATAATAATTAATGAAATCAAATTCTCTTTAGTTTTCTGCTTCTGAATAGGCGAACGTCTGCAATGCAACTGCCTTGTCGTATGGTAGAAATGTATATATAAGTATAAGAGTAACTATATCAGAGTTAAGTTATATCATATGATTGTCAGTTATAAATATTGCTGCCTCTTGTGTCTGTTTGCTGTTTGAATTCGTTTGATTTGTGCTCTTCTCTAGTTGCGATTACTTTGCTTTCGTATAAAATTTTCTACTTAACATCCAATATAAAAATTTGTGCTAAAATTAGTTAAACCTTATTACTGGCTAATGTGTTATGGATATGTAAATGTATGTACACACAAATTGCTAGCACCAATACAACTGTTTATACTTATGTAGGCATACTAACCATATCAATATCAATATCAATATCTATATCAAATATCAAATATCAAATATATCAAATTGTTTAGGTAATATTGTAGTAAACCGTCTTTATACTCGTAGTACCGCTTGTTAACTTGGCTTCTTGAAGGCAACGTCTGCTTAGATGCTATAAAAATTTTACAAATTCTTTTTTGCTTCAATTACTGGCTAATTTCGTAGAGCTAGACTGGGCTTTGAGCCCGCTTATGGATCTAAATTGAGCTACTTAAGCGTTAAGACATAAAAACTGAACGAAGTGATGCATGAAACAGTGTTTTATAAATAATAAGGAGAAACGTCAAAGCAGAACGGCCTCATTGGGGCATTTTCCTATATATGATGTCGAAGTGGGCGTGGGCGTTGGCGTGGGCGTAGGCATTGAGTATTTCCATATGGCCAGCGGCTCAGTGCCGTCGCATATGTAGCGACAGATGATCGGAGCGACTGAAACTTCGTGTGCAGAGCTGACAGCGAAAGGGCTTCACGCCCGTGTGTTTCCTGTAGTGGCGGGTCAGCTCGTCGGAGCGGGCAAAGCGCCAGATGCAGCCTTCCCAGGTGCACACATACGGCTTCTCACCTGCGAATGGAAAAGTGAAAGAGCCAAATTCATTTTAAGAACTTAAAGAGATTTCCATATTTTCGATGACTAAAATACAATCATAGAAATCAATCGCCATTGAAATTCGAGTTTCCTTTAGATAACTCACCTGTGTGCGTGCGTTTGTGCGCCTTGAGATGCGAGCTCTTGGTGTAGACCTTGTCGCAGCCCTCCGTATCGCACTTGTGTACCTTTCGGTTCTTGGAGAGATCATTGTAGCCGCTGCCATTGGAGGCAGCATCGCGACTGAACGAGGCACCGCTGCCCGCACCGCTGCCGCCAAAATTGATGCCACTAAAGCTGCTGCTGTCCTTGCGCGCACCGCCGCCCAATGCCATGCCTCCAAAGGCGGGATTCAGTGCTGCGTGCGTAGCCCCGCCCGCTCCTGCATAGCTCTTCCAGCTGGGCGCTGAGCAGACACTTCCAGCTGTTGCTCCTGTGCCCACAGGCTTGCTGCTGCTGCTGCTGCTGCTGTTGCCGCCGCTTGTCGAGGAGCATTTGCGGGCCGCCTGGGCATCAGTGAACTTGTAGGGGCTCTTGAAGAGGCTCAGCAAACTAAACTTGCGATCGTAGTCCTGCATGAGACTGCTGCTGCTGCTGTTGTTGGCGCTGTTGCTGGTGCTACTGCTGCTCCCGTTGTTGTAGCTGCAGCTGTTGTTGTTGTCTTCATGCTTGCTGATACGTCGATACGTAAAGAAAAATGGCGATGCTGCAAAGAATGGCGAGAATGGCAACTTGGAGACGCCGGAAGAGTACAGCTGTTGCTGCTGCTGTTGCTGCCGCCCAAATGGGCCCAACGTGGAGCCAGCAGGAGCCGCATAGCTACTAACGGAGGATGAGCAGCCAGCCTGCTTGCCATTACTATAGTTACCGTTGCTATAGTTACTGCTGCTGCTGCTGTTGCCGTTGTTGCTGATGCTGCTAAAGGCCTTGCTGCTGGGCGCTGCTTTGGTGGCGGATTTGCTGCTGTTTCTGCTGTTGCTGCTGCTGCTGCTGCTGCTGGTGGCGTGCGAGGTGCTCGCTGAAATTGTAGAAGCAATTGAAAGTCAGTTAAACAAAATGGCCAACTGTTGAGTTTTATGGTCGCAAAGCTTAATGAGACTCGTTAAATGTGCCCGGGTATTGGCATAAAAATCCGCTTAGCTTCAGTCAAGAGACGGGGCAGAGACACAGAGAGGGGCACGGGCAGCAGTAGAGGCAACGGCAGTCGCCATCAAGTCAACTCAACTGTCTGGAACACTTTGCCTTGTCAGTTAACAGTTGTACACAATTTCCTAATTTTACTTGGCTGACTGCCTAGCCGGGTAGGAACCAGGCGGATCGAGTCATTGCATCAAAAACGTTTGCATGTCGCGTACTTTATGGGCCCCGGACAGGCGGACAGACAACGGCAACAGACGGGCATCAAATCCGTGCAGTCGTGATCCATTTAACCTGTACTTGAGCGGCGCCGATTGCCAGTCGGAGCCGGAGCAAGTCGGCCCCAGCCTCGAGCGGGCAAACACACGGCCCCAGCCACAGGGACAAGTGTGTCGATTTTGGCGCCCGCGACATCAATTGCCAACAGCAGCAACAACAGCAGCAGCAGCAACAACAGCTGCCACAACTACTGGCTGCAGTTGCTTGCCACGCTGCCTGCCTGACGGCTGCCAGTTTCCTTAGCTAACTGTCACCTCTCGCTCTGGCTCTCCCTCTCCCCTCTCCCCTCTCTACAACCTGCCTGCCCCCTCACCCAATCTCTTGGAACCGCCTCTTGCGAAGGGTTTTGCCGTGTTCCACATGAAAGTCAACTCTGCGCCACGAAGCACTTGATTTGATCGAGCTTGCAACTGTGAAGTTGTATGTAAGCTGCCCATTTCTTAGTTCCGATTGAATAATGAATATTGATCAGGTGGCTTGAGTTAAGGCAGCTTTCTTAATAGAATCATTGATTAAATTAGTTTTTATGTTATTAATAGAGTAATAAATATTTTCAAAAATAAAAGTCGTTTTCTTGAAGCACTCAAGCACTTGCACTTGTTGAGTTTACGTTTATATCTATTTGACGACTTTATTGCTTCGAGCACTCATATATATATGTTGATGTATTTATGTATAGGATCTTGCAAGAATCAGCGCTACAAATCAGCTAAGAATTGAAGTAAACTAAGTCACAAAGTGATTTGATTATTAGTAATGCATTTGCAAAATATTATTTAAATTAAATGAAAAGCATTCTTATCTCTAAGTATTTTTAATTTCTTTAATTATATTAAAATGCTTTTGTATAAAAATTTCAATTTTATAAATTAAATTTTCGGCATGAAGACTTCTAAATGTTTAACTTTGCTTTTGCTAATCACTAAAGCTGAAACAGAATCCAAGTCTTATTTGCAGACAATGGTTTGGCTTACTTAAAACATATTCATGCATTAATTGAATTCTGCCTAATTATAAATTAATAATTATATTTGTTCATCTCTTTAACTTGCTTCCAGTTCTTGCTCTCTTTCTGTTTTCAATTTCGCTTTTCCCGTCTCTTCCCAATTTCAATATATGACGAATATTCCTCTTTTAGCCTTGGCCTATTCATATTAATGAATAGCCCCTGGACTGAATATTACAAATTAAAACAAAATATTTTCAGCTCTTAATGTGTCTGTAGACCTACGAAAGTCTGTGCATATTTATGACCCATTTACATTGTTATAACTTGATGTTCCCTCGACTAAGACGTGAATCTAGTTTGTATTTAAATACATAAATTTGCCTAATTGTTCAATCAATTTTCTGCTTTTTCCTAAGGTGTCTCTAGTTTATTGCATAATCCCAATGTGATGACTAGTTCTGCTGGGCTGTTCTCTTTACACTCATTGCTCATTAATATGCATTTATCAGTGGTCGCAATAAACTAAACAAATGTTAAGTAAATATGTGTTCTTGGCTGTGTCAATAGCTTACGAAATGTGCTCTTGTAGGAAGTGCCCTCAGCTCCTCCGCTCAGCTAATGTCTAAGGAACAATTTCATTTGCTCATCAAATTTAATTGCTCTTTCTCGTTCACTCTTTCTCTTGTTTTAGTTTTTGAAAGATATCCATAAAACGAAGTATTTTAGTTGCTGAAAAAACCGGTCTAAACATGGACTTACATCGATTCTATACTTGATCAGCGTATTTCCTACGTGAATATTTTATTATATTTGTACATACTTCAAAACTCTAACTCGAATTACTCAGACAAACAGACAGCAGCGAGCAACAGACGATCATTCCTATAACTGCTTAACTCAAGTTGATTTGTCATAGCTGTCGAGGAAGCTCTGTTCGTATACCATGAGAATATAACGTAAATATGATTCCATTCCTACTTGGTGAATGGATCACATATATATACAAAACATAATAAGTATGTGATCTATTTTGTAATTCAAAAAACAAAAATATTTTTGAATTTTTTGTAATTTGCGTTTTTTATTTGGCTTCCCTTCTCTGCGGCTACCGCTTTCAATTTTCACTTGCTAAAGCTCTTCTCGTTGTGGCTAGCTGTCGCCGTCGGTGTTATTGTGGTTGTTGTTGTTGTCGTTGTTGGCAAACTGTAAGAGTGACCCATGCTTAAGTGCTTTGTCTGTGGCCCACTGCAACAACATGACCGAGGGCCACAGACTCAACCGGTGCGACTGACCGTCAACGCGGGCCTGTGAAATGGTCGCCGGGTTGGTCGGGCTGCTCGGGTTGGCCGGCCGCTTGTTTTAGCCTGAAGTGCTTCAAGTGCGTTAGCGTTAGAGCCCCGGCTGTCTACACATGCGCACAGAGTCCGGGAACTCGAAGCGCTGAGACTGTTGCTGATGCATTTGTAATTTCCATGCCAGCATTTGGCTGCACAGCGCCCAAGGTAGCGCAGTCGCTGCGTCTCAGTGTGTGTGTGTGTGTGTGCGAGAGAGACTGCCTCGTGTTATTAAAATTGATGGCATTTAATTGAACTGGCCATCAACGTCAGCCCACAGTGCCGTTTTTTCCCCATTTAGCCATTTTGCGGTGTGTTGCCCCATTTGCAATTGCGACGCTTAGAAGGGACCATTCATTTGGATTTGAGCTCTCCCGATGCGAAGGCATATGCTAATGCGCATTATGTGGCCAGCAGCAGGCAGTCAGTTGCCCAAATATATACATATGTATATATTTATGTGTGTATATATGTGTGTGTGTGTGTCCATTTTCCCGTTGCGCATATAATCACCGCTTTTACCGAAATGCACACGCTGACTTCATATTTCTGCCAATTTAGTGGCGGTGCGCGTTTAGGCGACCCAGAGATTTGAAATCACACTTGTGCCTATTGCCAAAGTGGTGCAATAAAAAAAGTGAATGTTGCCCCGAGTGGCACACACACACATGCACACAGCTAGACACTAAGAGAGAGAGACGTAGCTGCAGAGTCGTATTAGCAGCCGTGTAGCAGCTCCTTTGGCGCGTCTTCAAAATGGTCGTCTTGGCCATAAACTGCTCATTTGACTTTAGCTGGAAGCTTAGAGCTTAGAGCTTCGAGCGTCGAGCGTCGAGCTGTGCGATTGCGTTGAACGTGCCGCCCGAGCAGCCAGCGATAATTATGATGAGACTGACGACCAAAAGCCAAAGACTGCAACCGGGTTGCCAGCGCCCAGTGCCAGTGTGTGGTGCTGTGTGCGAGTTGCTGCCTGCAATGCGGATCTTGCACCAAATGCGACTTGTTGGCAAAACCAAACAATAAATTACAAAAACAGTTGATAGGGTTTAATGTGCACTTGGTGTGCGATTGGTTATAATTGACAGTTCGCTTGGCTGGTTGTCTGACTGTCTGGCGACGTGCTTCGCTGCACCACCACCACCACAGCACCAGCAGCAGCTCCAACTAACTCGTCGTTATGTCTGTTACGTTTCTTGGCAGTTAATTGCCAGGCGCGCGCACATTGATTTACTAGTGGATTTTTATATAAAACTGTCGTATTTAAGTTATAATTATGAAACAACATGGCGTATGAGCAATGCCCAACACACACACACTCACACACACACACACACACACGCAGACAACAGTTTCGATGTTAGCACATCAGAATTTATGGCATTGCGCATTCGCCGTGGGGGCAAGCCAAACCTAAGCCACGCCGCCAGGCTTTAAATTCACACACACTCACACACACACATACTTACACTCACACACACATGCTTTTATTTTTTTCTCCGACTATTTTTCACACTCTGCGGGCGTCTTTTGAACCTTGAAATAAAAGTTTCCCACACTGGCGATAGACCTGGGCAAATGTTTCGATTTTCCTTTTGGCTTTGCTATCTATCTTGGCCAAACTGAACGCCGCCGAACGCTGCGATACTCGGCTTAAGCTCTTAACTCTTAACTCCAAACGTTAACACTGACTAGCTGGCTGGCTAATCCAGCGCCCGATTCCCAGCCAGCCCAAAATGGTAACAGACGTAGACTTTGTGGCAGCAAAAAACTAATGAGCAACAACAACAACAACAGCAACAGCTCCAAACACTAGCGAATGCAAACTGCACCTGCCAAACGGGCAAACAAACAACCAACAACAGCAACAAGAGTCATTTGAGAAGCAATTTCTTTACTGAGTAGAACGACTTTCCTAATACTCTACCAAGTTGCCATTGGCTCAAGTGGGGTATTCCCCAGCTGCTGTTTAACTACTTTATTTCAAATTATATTCTTGAGATTTATAATTTGTTAAAAGATCTTTTACTTAAAAAAATACTGCATAATGTTTAAGAAGAACTTTCAATCAATATTTACTTTCACTAAAGGGAAAATATATAAAAATGTTGATCAAGAACTGAACTACATTGGTTCATGGGTTAGCTCCTATTTAAAACGCGTGACTTATTACAGACTATCAGAGCCCAACTGACGAGAGAACGTTACGTACTCTGTGGTTAGTCAGGCATACCCCGCGACACGTACCCCTAAACTGGCTCTGCCCACAGCATCGTCGTCATCCTCCGCGACTGCAGCTTGGAACTCAACGTTGTTGGCGCTTCGTTAGCGGCTGCCGTTTTATTTCTGTTTGTATTTCTATTTGTGTGTGGATTTTTTACTTGGTTTTTTCTTATTGTATGCCCGTCTCGCTTGCCCATTGCTCGATTTGTTTTTTACGAGCAAATTGTGCAAATATCTTAAAGCTTAGCAAAACTGACAACTAGATAAATTTAAATGAATTTCTGCGCTCATAAGCTGACAGCAAAATGGGCTGGCAGCTCAGTTAGCCACGTTAGTTAACTGCCTGCCGACCAGGGCGCATTCTCAACGGAAAGAAAGACAAAAAAAAAAGAAAATCATTTAATTGTTTGCTACCAATTATGTATTTGTCAAGTTAATTGGTATGTCAACGCAACTTGTTTTTAGTTAGCCTCAATGTACGCTGGCTACTCGGTGGTGGCATCAAAG